GGTCTTTTTATCCAGAAAGTCACCCTTTGGTGCTCCCATTTCTCTGGCCTGTAGTTCTGTGGCAATGGGCTAAGCCAAGTCTGAGGCAGAATAGCACAGTTTACCAGGACTTATGATGGGTCTACTCAGATCTCTGCATATGTTAGTGACTTTGCTAGCCATTCTGAATTAATATGAATGCTTTATTGATTTCTTTTATTGCAAGCTGGTGTGGAGAGTCTGTCTGAAAGAGACACAAGCTAGCCTAGTGGTTCCATGGACTAAATAGAAAACCGTAATTCTCAGGCATGTCTTGAGATCCGTTCATTGGCCAGTTTATTTTTTTGTTTTTTTTTTTTAAGAAATGGAGCTAATATGGCCTTTTCTGTGGCACTGCCACTTACCCCTACCATATTAATACTTAAATGCTAAAAACACTTCTGCAGATGAGTGTTTTGTGTTGATAAACCCAATGGTATGTCTGATACTTAGTTCTTTTTTTAATTTTAAATTTATTTTCTGATATTTTATTCTGTAAGAGCTGCCAGCCGTCAGTCATGAGAGATTCTGTTAAATAAACTCTGAGCATCTCCCAGGACGATCGATCTGTGCAGTGTTGGACGTAGTAAGTGACAGTTTAGAAAGAATAGTTTCATTTAGTTGCAGGGCTGTATGGGGGCTCTCCTAGCAGTGTAGTTTCAGATGTTATTTCACGGTTTCAAGATCATTAAAATTTAGATCATAAATGAGTAGTCAAGAGAATAGCACATTTAAATAGACTAATGTATTCAAGTATGTCCTCAAATTTAAGTGAGTAAAATAATGAACAGGCTTGGTGTAGTTGTGCATGCCTCCTGTAATCCCTTTCAAGTTCGAGGCAGGAGGATCGTGAGTTTGAGGCCTGTCTGGGCTACATATTGAATTTGAGGTCAACTTGACCTACAAGTGAGACCTTTTCTAGGAAAAAAACATCTTGCATGGATCCTTGAACATTAAAGCTTTGAGATATTTTGGTTTTATGATTCTTTGTTATTAAAACAAGTCATTAACCAACTGAAAAGTAATATTTTTAAGCCGATACAAATGTATTCTCTTGATAGTCACTTAACTTTCTCCTGATTATATCACTTCCCTACAACTGTTATTAAATAGATGTTTGTTGCTTGTCATTTTTTGCTTTGGAAACTGTTTATTGGTTTGTTTGTTTGTCTTATGCTTGACAGATCATGATCATCCTGTGTGATTTTGGTTTTGGGATTTGGATTTTCTTGTCAGCACTGAGACTATTGTGGGCAGTTTTGGAATACTTGTTTTTATGCCAGTCTTCTACAGTGCCACAGATTAACACATTAGAGATACCAAATGGTCAAAGTAGAACCTCTTCAAATCTGTGCCTTAGCCGTGGTAACACTGTATCAGCGCAAACTATGTTTTCCTTATCCATAGAAAATGATGCTTATGTGGAGTACAGTCACCTAAATACATGGTAGGTAATTCAGGAAAAATTTTTCTATTTGTTAATTTTTTTCCCAGAAACTTGGTCGGTTTCCCCTGCTGACCTCCCCTTTTTAAAAATTTACCTTCTGTTTTTTACGGTCTAGTTTTCACATCAGTAGACACTGAGAGATTACTGCTAGGTGGGGAGCAGCGTGTTAAACAGCATGCATTAATAAGTGAATAAGATTATACCAGATTCACTTGTTTCTAAATCTCCTTAGAACCATATTGAATGTGAAAATATAATCACAGATTTTTCTGTTTCCTCTATATTTCCCTGATCTTAATCTTCAACTCTATAAGCATATACAAAGCAGAATGAAAAGGTTGCTTCCTTCAAAGAGTTTCTCATGTTTTGTTCACACCTTCACCTGAGAGTTTACGGAGTTACAGGTAGACCTTGATTTATTTACTTAGCTTTTGAAATACAGCTTTAATGTACTTTGGATATATTCAGGCATGCTGAGATTCTTAGGCATTTCAGATAAAAGGGAAAACATACTGGTAAATCCCGAAGATAAGATTTCAGGAGGAATTTGTTTTATCTTCACTCTGTCCATCTGTTGTCTGGCTGGGCCTTCGTGTCTTGGAAACAGAGTTGGGCTGCTGTGTTGTTTAGGCCACTGTCTACTTGGCTCCTTCCTGCCTTCTTTTGGGGAAATACATTGGAAAGGTAAATGTTTTATGGCTTAAATTAAAAGGCCTCTTTTAACACTAGGAAATAAATCAAGACTAAGATGGTGATCAGACTGCATAGGGCATGGGGAGAAACCTATAGGAGAAATCAAATGAATATTCAATGCTTTGCTGTGATGCATGGTTCATTCTCTGATTATCAATATATGATATATCTGATTTTCTAAAAAATTTTTCTGAGGTTTTATTGGATAAAACATCTTGGCTTTTGTCTTCATTTATATGTTCATTCCTAAAATGACCTATACCAATTGGACAGCCCCATTCAGAACTTAGAACTGGACATGAAAACTTAGCTGTGGAGGGTTTTTGATAAACTGTGACTCATTGTTAAGCCTTTCTTAAGTTAGATAGTCTTCAACAGGCTTCAGCAGAACAGTTTCCCCTGTCCATTCAGGGATCCTGAGAGTGGCATTTTCTGTTATTAGACTTGGCCTAGAAATCAGTAGCTATTGTAAAATAGTGCATAATTTTGTTTGCCGAACCCTCAGCTTCCCAAGACCCTTGACTCATCACTTGCTTTGGGAAGACTTTTAGAACAAGCCTACCTCTTTTCATTTGCCTGCCCACATCTTCTTAAAATCTTGCTGCTCTCCCTGGGAAGAACTACAAAAGAAACTAGGATCTATAAAATTCGGACCCTGCTAATTATCAGAGTCCTTTTTTCAACAATCAGAGTACAATTCACACACCATAACATTCATGCTTTAAGGCATACCGGAGACCACCATCTTCTAGTACATTTAGAAGGTTGTATAAAATATCAGCGCTATCTAATTTCAGAACATTTTTATCACCTCTGTTAGAAACCCTGTACCTGTAAGCAATCATTCCTCATTCCTCTCTGGGAACCACTAGTTTCTTGTCTTAATGTTCTTTTTTCTATTACACCGAAATTTATCCCTGTAACTTAATGGTGAGGTGAAAGAGGGAGAGGGTGCTGTACAGCTAAACTCTTAAAGGTTTATTTTTACCTTCACGGGAATAAACTCTTGGCATTTACTTTTAGCTTCTCGCTGATAGACCCCCATGTAAAGGGGAAGGTTCCCTGCTGAGCCTCTGAGTCCAGTCCCTGTTTTGCTTATGATTAAATTTACAGTCATCTAAAATATTAAATGTGTGATAATGTGCAAGTAGTTGAGTCTGGCCTGATAATGAAATTAATTTACAACAGACACCCTTTTGAATTCTAAGTCCAGGATCACCAGCAAAAGCATTATAGTTCCTGTCAGCCTTCCTCTTCTGTAACTTTTAGAATAACAATTCAAACCGTAAGGCATTGTCAGTCAAAACCAGGGTAACTTAGAAAGATTGTGGGTTTGGATATATGTATCACCTATGCCTTAATTAGGTAGTGGATTCCTGCTCATTGAACTAATTAGGGGGTTTGGAAGATTGTGAGGTTGGAAGAGGAATGGGGGTTGATTTTTAGGGCCAGGGGGTGTCCCAGTGCTCCGCAGTTTTCCTTGACTGCACAGGAAAGAGTAAAGTGGTGAAGTGGATGTGTAAAGGGTATGGAGAGCCAGGGGCCACTCACTGGATGCCCTCGGGTGGTACAGTGAAGTTGTTAGCTGATGTCTGTGTTCTTTGTTCCTCCACTTTCCTGGACTATCCCAGAATGGCCTTGTTAGGACCTTGAGTGCTGAACCTTCTCCTAAAGTTTCTAGCTTTTGTGTAACTTTGGCTTTCAGTCTGAATACTGCTTGTGGCTGTCTTTTGTAGAAATGTTTGGCAAGCAGTTCAGGGCCTGGCACTTTCTCTAGGGCTACTGTGATAGCAAGCTGGGGTATGATGACACAGAAACTGGGTGTCAAGGTGTAGGTGTTGTTACCAAATGTACGCCACCAGAGCTGGAGTGGTGCTTGGACCTTTTTATGGTAAAGGTGATCGTTGTTTAATGTGGGCTACTGTCCTGGCTGTCGTGTATTATTACAAGTGACAGGTGCTGGAGATTTGGAATTCATGTAGTTCTTCTGTGTGCTTAGCAGATTAAATAGAAATGTGTCGTTTGGGATAAATGCATGAGAATGTTAAAATTTAAAAAGTGCTTTGAACGGAGTTGAGACCATTTCTTTCAGAAAAGATGAATTTCCTTCCAAGGATGATTAGGTTTTCTGTTTAGTTTATTAAAATTTTTGTAGGGGAGGGATGGAGAATCTACGGCACAGTATTAACTCCATTGGATGATGCCAGACCTCTTTAGCTTCTGTGGTTTTAATGTCTCATTCAGTAAGGCCTGGGCCGGGGATTTAGCTCAGTGGTTTCACCACCTGCTGCGCAAGCGCAAGGACCTGAGTTCGATCCCCAGTACCAAAAAAAAAGGAGTAAGGCCTGTTCTTGCCATTACCCCCCACCCCAAATTCTCAGGAGGAACATAAAGTGAAAAACGAAACTCTTCTCATCTACCTTTCCCTTTGCCCCTGGCTTTCCACCACCTTGGGATAACTACTTTTAGGCTCTTTTGGTGTATCTCCTTCTGAGATGTAAATGACATGTAAATTTGCCCCTGTGTATCTGGGTATCTGCATTGCTTTTTAAAATGGTAGAGCCAGAGCCTTTCAGCCACATCCTAAAGTGGTGACATGCTTTTAGAAGAAGGACTGAATATAGTATAGAGAGGCCTTTGGGGTAATTGTAATATTTGCCCTTTGGGCCACTGATGAGTGTATTTGTACTTTTTGGGCAAATGGTGGTTCGCAGTTATAAATAGAGTGCTAATTAAAATAGGTACCTTCTCTGTAAAGAAGAACTATATTGCAATTAATAAATTTCCTGTCTCCTTATCATGGGTTTTTGTCTTGTTCTCTCTCTCTCTTTTCTTAAAACAGCAAGCCAGGGCTGAGCAGGAGGAAGAATTCATCAGTAACACGTTATTCAAGAAAATTCAGGCTTTGCAGAAGGAGAAAGAAACCCTTGCTGTAAATTATGAGAAGGAAGAAGAGTTCCTCACTAATGAGCTCTCCAGAAAGTTGATGCAGGTACATTATCATTTCTGTCCTCTCATCTTCCCTGCCTGTTTTCTTTCCTCTCTGGGAGACAATGACTTTGATAGAGCCCTTTGCTTGAAATGTTTGCTGATGAGGCTGTGGCTAGAGTTCTTTGGTGATGAAAAATACCAGGGTAAGGGTGGTGGTGGTGTGACACTCAGGAGCGTGGCTCTCTAGCACATCTGCTTAGGAAAGGTAAGATATTTTGTATCCAGAGCATTTAAAAAAATGGCTGATGAGCATGAAGCCGTAATGTAGGTAATGTTGTATATAAAATTTTGAAAATACGGGGATTAACACACCCTCCTCTTAGGATGAATCTATAATAATATGTAAACATTTTGACAATCATAAGTGGGTCTTTTGCACCAAAACATGAGGTTATAAAATGAAATGTCTTTAGGAAAAAAGGTATCCATGATAGTTGAAATTACACAGTCTACTATGTTCCAATGGCTAAAATGTTAGTGAACAGGTATCAGACTAATAAAACTTAACAGTATCACTAAATATATATATATATATA